AGACACTTTTCAATTCACATGTACAGAAACGTCCCATTTTACGCTCATAATTGCCTCATTACATCAGACAAAGATAATTTTCTCTTACACAATTTTCAAATATCAACATATATGGAATAGACTTCGTAGCCGATTTTTAATTAATATGATCCACCATTTGTCGGTTAACATCACAACGCATACCAGATGTGGGGCTAGAAAATTCAGCAATCAAAAGGTATGATTCTAATACATACAAGTAGATATGCAAATTTCTGTTTTGAACTAGAAAAATTTCACTAAATTGATAAAACAAGAATCTTATAAAACAATCTTGCAGTTCATAAGGTAATTTTACTGCATAAATCTTCGGTTATAGTGGAAGTTGTTGTAGGTTTCATTAAAACTGGATTAAAACCAAAAAGGCTTTCGACTTGATAACTGATGTGTTTTTAGATTAGTATAATATTAAAAAATGTATCGTACAAAGTACTTACAAAGCTTACATCGATAATAAATTATAAACATTTTCATACAAAAACCTGTTAAAATCACATACCTATGAAGTCTCGTATATCGTCCAGTCTCATTGTTGCCTGTTTCGTCTAAGCGATTCGAATCTGTCATTATCAGAATACTTAAAAACATAGTTCAAAACAAGTTCGGAGGGGCTAAGTTTGGGAGTAATCGAATATTTCATTCTCTTGCAACTTGCAAGGAACAAAACCGGCTAAATACCTTAAGGTGTTGACAAAACTGTATATTAAAATATGTTGCGAAAGTGTTCAACTTTCTTTATTCGACGAAATTGTGAATAAATTACAAAAAAATTTGGTAACTTCTTGACATATATTGAGTGCCATAAACTTAGACTCAGTTTTATTGCTATATTTTGGTTCGAGTCAGCTAAAATTATATTAAAAACACCTTGAAATGAGAAATATCTATGTGATATTGACTCGACCAAAAACTCTAGATGTAATATGTATATTGAGTTGATCTAGAAAACGTGAACCAGAAAATCGCCATATATAGGTATAGACTAATTTCATTCGGGCAATAGGCGGGGTTGTAGTCCGCATTGCTTACTTTCGCACTATAACATAAGAATGTGAGAAGAATGTTATATACCAAATTTGGTTGAAATCGGTCGAGCAGGTCCCGAAAGAAGTGATTTCACCCAAAAGTGGGCGGTGCCATTGTCATCGTCCAATTTTGACCATGGCTCCTGTAAAGCTTTCCCATACCATCTCGAGATAAAATCGCGATTTATCGGGCCTTCAGTAATGAGGATGAAGTGTTCCAAATTTCATTACGTCAAGTTTTATTCAAGTTAGTGCTTGCACAGACAGACGGACGGACAGATAGAAATCCGGATTTAAACTCATCTCGTCATCCTGATCATTTGATATTTCATATCATAAATAAAAGTGTGAGGATGCGTTGCATTGAATTTTCGAAATCTTTTCTATATTGTAAAATTATTATATGAAGTAAATAAAAATACGATAATCATAAAATAAATTATGACTTTCTCCTTACTTACTCTAATGTTTCATACTACCATATTTGTAAGTTGAGTAGTTTGTAACTATACTTGTAGAAAGCCGGAGCAAATGCATTTTTCTGCAAGGCATACATACATACTTACGAGTATGTGTGCAGATTTGCATATACAAAATAGTTTCAATTGCAACGGCCACTTACTGAAAAGTGAAAACGAGATTATTGTCTTGTTGTTATATTCGTACCGTTTATTCGTTTGCATATTTGTAGAAACCTGACCTCTATTCCGTAAGTGTTTGTTTATGTCTTCTAAGCCCTATTAACACGTCACAGTCAGAGTTTCTCTCGACAAATGGCAAATGATGAAAATCACTCTATACATACATTACGATGATTTACATAGAACTCTCACACAGTGCGATTTGATTGTAGTTGAGAGTAGTTAAAACTGATTTACTTCAATGTATACCATTTCAATTGAATTGTCTATATCGAATTTGATATTCCACATAAGATAGCTGGCTATTGTCTACCGTTAGAAGCGTGGAAGCATCATTTTCTCTCTGTACTTCATTGCTTCTTTCTGCAGAAAGATTGACTATCCACAGCAGGAAATATAAGGTCTTGAACGTGAGTCAGCATATCTTTTTTCGTACGTGTAGACTTAGGTTGTCGTATTGGATAAATAACGTATCAAGTTGTTAGATATTGATTAGTATTTGTTGCGCTTGCATCTATCATATATAAGGCAAGATCTAAGACCACTATAGATCGTCCCTGTTTTCTATGTAAATGTAATCTACATGATTCAACCACGTCCCTTCCCTTCCTCTTCCTGAACTAATATCGACAGTAAATTATCTTTCATTTCATTTTTGCTATTTATCTTTCGTTTTCAATGCGTTTCAACCTACTATGAATTTCTTTCACTTTTTACCATATTCAAAGCCTTCTGCATTGGTCTTTTATAAAAACTAAAAAGTATGTATTACCTACTCGAAAAGACGTAGACCTTTGTTATGATTTTCAACCCGACTGCATTTTGGTTGAAGTTTTGAAATTCCGTATTATAGTTATCAACCCAATTGGTCAAAAAAATTTCGTTGAAATGTTGCCAAACTTCAACTTTTTTGGGTATTACGGGTTTCAACTCTGTGTCGATAAGGTTGACTAGAGTATCAAAAAATTTCAACTGCTACCAAGCAGTACGGATGCCAAAAAGATTTGCCCTGAGCGAATATGGTTATTATGGGTAAATGGTTTAGGAGATATGTACATTAAATTTATTAGAGGGCGGCGCCACGCCCACTTTTCAAACTAATTTTCACTTTAGGTGCCCCTCTCTAATGCAATTCGTTGTACGGCATAACTTTGTTTCTTATTGTGGTTCTTAGTTATGGCACTTTATAGGTTTTCGATTAATCGCGTTTTGTGGACGTGGCAATGGACCGATTTCACCCATCTGAAACATATGTACCAAGTTTTATCAAGATATATTTCAATTTTTACTTAAGTTATCGCTTGCACGAATGGACAGACGGATGGGCGGACAGACAGTTACTTTATATCTATCTCGATTATTTTTAGGTGATACAAACAACCGTTAGGTGAGCAAAACGAATATAATTAGCAGCAACATGTTGCAATAGTATAAAAATATTAATAGAAAATGGAAAATGGGTAAAAACAACTATTTTATTTATAATTATAAACTATTTTAATCACTTTGTTGAGCTCGTGGAGTAAAATCCCGAATCTGGACGAGGCAAGCTACAATTTGGAACTAGTAAAAATAAAATTATGGGACCGTGGGAAGTGTTTCGAACATAAAGAGTCTATACAATGTACTACTTCTAGGAATATATTTTTTGAGTAAAATTAAATTTTGCTCCAATGCAGAATCCATTGGTATAACTGTTGAGATCGTTAGGTAGTTACAATTCCAGCATATAAATCAAAGGTTAGTTCTAACAGGTACGTATATATGCATATACACGAGTGCATATACATACGAGCGCATATACATGCACCTTGTATTATATATGAATGTAGATTTTTATTGCCATAAAATTTAGTTCTTCGGATTTGAAATCGCATTAAATTAATTAGTCTTTATATGAAGTATGTTTTGTTTCGTTCAAAAGGATGACATAAAATTGAGTTTACAAATTTGACTGTGACCGCCTGTCTTCGTTATACATATATGGTACATACATACATAAATAATACGAATCGAAAGTACACCGCAAGATCAATGATTTATATTCCCGAAAAACATGGCGCGAGTATAAAAACGTTAATTGACGTCTACAGCGGCGTTTGAAACTGAAAAAAGCAGGAAAGAACATAAAATGTATTAGAAGGAATTTATGTTGTATTTATGAACAGACTAATATAGTTGTTTATCGTGCAAATGTTGGGGTTTTATTTTAAATATCCAAAAATATTAATTTTTTCAAGCATAATGTTGTACTAAAATTATATTATTAAGAGGAAATATTTGAAGCATAATGTTATACTAAAATTATATTATTAAGAGGAAATATTTGATTGTTTGTTTGCTTGAACTGAATAGGCGAAACTACTTGACTTATTTGAAAAAAATTTACCTTTGGGAAATTGTAGTATCTCCGGTGAACATAGGCTATATTATATTTTCAAAAAGATTAAGAATCCTTACCAAACGTCAATAATGTAACCTAAGGTGCAACAAAACAACCTAAAAATTTCTTACATAACGTGTGCTACAAATACTATTGATTATCGAACTAAATAATGCGCTAGGACTTTGCAGGACATATAATTATCTACAAAAAAATGTCGGGATAGCATATGTCTAACTGCTATAGTCACGCCACAGTAAGTGTTCTTTTATTAAAAGAAAAAAAATTTTAAAATGCCGCCTCTGTAAAAGCTCTTATATGTACCTTAGAATTAATCCTTATCAAAATGAATTACTTCATATTCAATTGATTCAAACCTTTATAAAACATTTTGATTTATTCGTCGTAAAGTCGCGTGGTCGCCGTTCACCCCGCTCGGCTGGCTGCAACATAATATGCGATGTAGGCGTCAATAAAAAATCGTCAAAAAAATTCTGTGAATTATTCTACGACTGCAACCCAAATGAATTTCTATTCTCTATCTATGACTTTAATTACTCAAAATAATTATAATTTCTTATTACTACCACACCCAATTGTAAAGTACGAGTATGTAATGTCTTCTAAGACTTGAACTTACTTTGATTGAAAATTCCAGGCAGCGTGTGTACCTATACTATTGTCATCAATTCATTATTTTTTTAAATTTAATATTAGTTTGACCATGGCCTTTCTCTAAAGAAAGGCACCGGCAAGATATGTACTTGCGTTTATGAATTATTGATTTGTGAATTTAGGAATTTTTAATTGACTTTTGATTGTTTGGAATTGCTTTATATTCAAAGTTATCAAAAATAATATCGCATATTGTGTTCGAAGGAGGCAAAAACGCTGATTGTCTATATATGTTAAGCTAATGGCAGCCGGTTTTCGTTATGTATGTACATATGTGCATATGTATGTATATGTAACTAATTTTGCCCCACTTTGCTTTGCTCCAATTCAACTGCACACCAATTATACGGAGAAATTTTATTAACGTGCTACATGATCATATCATAAAAATACTTGTATACAATCACAAATATATTATATACTCGTATGGTACATATAGGAATGTACAATGCACACATACATGTCACACAAGTACACAAGGTACAGATGTACTTTAATTCCACTAGTAAGAAAGGGTATATTATTGTCTTTTGAATTTCACATTGATGTTGATACGAGTACTAGTTCTTTTTTTGCTTCTTATCATCTTTTTTGTAATTCGACTCACAAGCGTGGATATCATATCCACATTATGTACACTGATTTCTTGAAGGGCTTTAATGCTGAATCCCATATAATATTACTGCTTAATCTTGAAATTTCTCCTTCTGATCTATACCGTAACTTTCCAACAATAGCATTTCCATTGTCAATTAAAAATTACCTCTAACCCAGAAGAAAACGTCGAAAACCCTGTAAAATATATATGTATGTACGAACTATTCCTCAGTATTTGAAATATCGTTCTCGAATTTTGCCCACGTGCTTTTCTCCCCAAGAAGATGCTTGTATGGAAAGCTTTTTTATTTGACGAGATATTATCACAAAATTTGGCATGTTCGATAAATTTTTAATCACAAACATGGGATTAAAAATAATAATAATCAATTTTAATCCCAGGAATATAATTCAGAATTAAAATATTGTTTACCTAATTCTCGCGTTTGCGTACTTCGTGTTTAACCATATTAAACTAGAACTCGCACAGATCCATCATCTTCCATTCAATACTAAAGAGAAAAAGGGGAAAAAGAAGTGAAAAAAATAACATTTTCAATCCCAAACAATAAAAATTGGAATTTAAGTTTTTGATCCAAAAATTTTGAATCATAAAATTCGCAACCCTATTCACTACTGACCACAATTTCTGATAGCATTAGACACAAATTATTGAAGTTGCGGGGCAGTTTTTAAGGTAGGTTATTTGATTATTATCATTCGCTTTTCTTCTCCACTATGTCCAATTCCCAACATCGGCATAAAAATTAAAATTTAATTTTTAATTTCAACAACGGAATTCCAAATATTTGAAATAAAAATTCACAAACCTAGTTTTAATTCGATTTTCCCTTAAGTAGAGTTTGTCCTACAATTTAAAGAAAAAAATCTTATCACTTCGGAGACTTTTTCTGCTATAATTACATTGAAGTAGGTTACTCCAGGAGCCTTATATTTCCGTTTAGATATTTTATTTATTGAGTAAAGGTGACGAAATACTTTCATTTTCTGTAAATTAGATAAGGAGGCTTAGAAAGGTGCAGAATTACTACAGCTCTTGGAAAGACGGCTTTTCAGGAGAATTATTCTGCGACAATTCGTTGGAAACACATGATGTAAAAGGAAGTGGTATTATTCTTTAGGCAGATTAAGTTAAACGAAAATTGGCCTTGTTCGTTCTGTCGAATTGGCATCACGATTGTAATCAATCAGGAAGTTACTATTTTAAATATCCTCTCTTGATATTTTAGAGAAAATTAGCAATTTTCGAAATTGCCTTATAAATAATTCGATTGATATCTTGTGGTATCTTAAAAACAAGCGACACTGGTATACTAGCCTTAAAGCCTAATAGGTTGGAGAAACCCAAATATACAAGATATTTGTACTTCTATTGGAATCATTGTCATTTTCTAGAAATTTTAACAATCAATAATGACAATAAAAAAAGCTTTTTGCGGCAGTATTGTCCGAGCAGGTATACAAGTATAGCTACAATTTTTATGTTAAGTTAAGGAAATTTGTATTTTTGATATTTATTATACAATAGAAATTTATTGTGAAAACACTTCGCATTCGATGCTCAAAGTCATCATCTGCAATGCCAACTCATTCTCCTTATCTCTTAAACAACCGCTACTTTGGACACATGCGTAAGAAATATGTGATTAAAAACCTGGTAACACTTTGAGCATACCGAAGAGAGCAGTTAACTTGACTAGCAAATTATAAGTTTTATTAGCTAGTCAGTTCATTGCTCGCAGCAGTGATAGTGAAATTTCCACCAAATTTTTTACTATAATATTTTTGTTGTTCGCAGTAAACTAAGTAGTAAAATTGGATACTTTTACTTTTAGCAGGGTAGTAAGATTTATATAATAAATTTCTTTACGATATTTCAAAAGTTAACAAATACCAAACATTTTTGCAATTACAGGTCTAATTTAACTGATGTTTTATATGAACAGACGTACATATACTTGAATATTATTGCTCACAACTTTCTAAAATATTTTACGTACAATAACTTCAAGCTAACAGCTGATACATAATAATGGAGATTTAATTCTTCGATTTTAAAAAATATCAAGAATTTCGTTAATTGAAAAGGAATTCACCTTCTCTGGTTTATAACGTTACGAACTAATGTATTTTTCTGTTAAACGTACAAAAAACGTAACGAGACGAACAGGTCCACTCGCCATTTATGACGTAGTTGGATTCAAATTGTTACAAAATAAAAAACAAAGAAAAAAACCGATTTTAAAATTATTTAATAAACAGAAATATTCAGTTTATCTATAAATTTCATGATTATGCTGCTTATTTTTTGTACGCAGAATGAAACATGGGATACTCTACAAAATATATACATAAACGATCAGCGTGTCGAGCTGAGTTGAATTAGCCATGTCAGTCCGCCTGTATATACAAGAACTAGTCTTTCAGTTTTTGAGACATCGAACTTAAATTTTGCACACGTCTTTTTTTCCCCAAGCAACTGCTCACTTGTCGGAACTGCCGATATACATATGTAGAATATACCTACTATACAAACTCATCAATTAATATCAAGTTCTTGTTTGGAAACTTGTTTATTTGTGAAGGGTATTAGGGAAAGCTTCAGTCTAAAGGAAGTTTTTTCTTGTTTTCCTAGGTATGGACGTAATGTATAGACTTGTCTTATATCTTTATTTATATTGCGATTTGGTGAACATTCCTTCTTTCAGATGCAGCCACAGACTCACCGATAAAGTTCATTAAGTTGCCAGCTCAAGCACCAGTAATCCACTATACCCAGAGCAAAGATGATTCGCCGATAATCAGTTATCGAAATAGTAAGGACCATACACCATCTGATATCATTGAAATCGAATCATCGGCGCCGATTCTTAGCCGTGCCGCTTTGCTTTATTCGGAGTACATGAACGCAGCTATGAATACAATGAGTTTGGATGAGGATGCGGTACAGAGGCAGCAACGAGGCAATGCTAACTCCTGCCCTAGATCGTGTCCGCCAAGTACAACTGTGGGCGCTGTACCGGTTTGCGCCTCTGATGGTTTAATTTATGCGAACCTCTGCGAAATGAAGAAAAAGACTTGCTCTCGAAATGGGTCAAATACCGTGAAGGTAAGATTATGTTGTATAAGCATACCATATGTACAAATATAATATAACTTGCCTTTTTCATATGTATATGGTATGTACATATTTGTGCATGTAGAGTGAGAAATAAATCTCAGTTTACTTTCTTTTTTATTTTGTAAATTGGCAATTTCGTTGTGCATACTTACAAAAGTCGATAGTGAGATCAAGGGCAGATATAAAAGAATAATGTTCTTTTTTACTTCTCTTCAAACATCTGCATGTATATATTTACTGAATTGGGGTTTTGTGCAAATTTATAGGCCGTTAAAGACAGCTGTGAACGCGCACGAGGATCCGAATGTAAGCACCGGTGTCCTACAGAGAAAGACCCAGTTTGCGGAACTGATGGCCACACTTACTTGAATCGTTGTATGTTGCGCGTACAAGCGTGTCGAGTTGGTTTGGCGGCGGTTAGCATGTCGCATGTGGGCGCCTGCAGTAACATCAGTGCCATACGTGAATCTTGTCCAGTGGATTGCAAAAGTGCTCCCAAAGATGGTCCTATCTGTGCCTCCGATGGCAATGTATACAATTCGACATGCGAGATGAAATTGCTGACATGCAGCCAAGGGGTAGTGAAGACCAGTCGGAAGCATTGCCAATCGACGCGCATGTGCCGTGAGTCTTGCTGGCGTGTTGCACGGCCCACCTGTGGTTCTGATGGGCGTCTGTACGCTAGCCCCTGCAAGATGCGAGCATACAACTGTGGCAAGCATATTTTCGAAGTACCGCTATCATTTTGCATGTCTCAAGAGCGAAATACTAATGGCAGTAAGGCAGCGGATAACTGTCCCACCGAATGTCCTCCTACCTCGGACGCGCCATCACAATATGTCTGCGGAAGCGATGGCAATATTTATTCATCGCTTTGCGAATTGAAAATGCTAAACTGTGGGTAAGTAGGCGGTAACTGGTTCATTGTGCTACACATAAGAGAAGCAATGAGAATAATGTTGATAATACGTCTTGTGTTTATTTTCTTATTTCTTATCTTCTTATAGTCCTCAACGAAAATCTATACAAAAAATGAGCATGGACAAGTGTAAAACCCGTTTGAATCGATGCAAACAGCTGCCGTCTTGCAAAGATTTTAATAATTTGTTCGGGTCCATATTTTCCTCAAATCGCAATGACAAACTCTGTGGCAGTGATGCAAAAACCTACAACAATGAATGTGAGCTTGCGCATGCAACGTGCTTGTAAGTCTACGTGTTATAAGTTAGTACATATACAATTAGACATTCAATTGAATAAAGTTTTTATATTCCATAATTTATAAAAATCGCATGAGTGGTCAATCTTCTTTTTGAAACCACTATTAATCTTGTATTCAGTATAAACCAAACCAAACTTCATGGATGCCCTATTTTTTCTTAGAAATACGTACAAGTACATATCCACATCCTTAAAAAATATGTATAGGTGGACCCGAAAAAGAAATGTTTGCCACATCCATACATTTGTATTTTCCATAGCAATCAAGTTTAGCAGGAAAGAACATTACAAGATGATCATTATGGGTTGGAATGGGTTGACATAGGCCTCTCAAGACACATGGTCATTCGAACGGGGCTCGTGAACTAATATATATACTTGTATGTATGTATTACCACGAGCATTACCCGCGATTAGTGATCACATACATAATATACATACTGGTTGGTTGAAAAGTACGTAGTGCTCACCAAGCAATAGCACTACTAGCTTCAAAAAAAATTTGTTTATCAATTTCATACATCCGACATGAGAACACATGCAAAGTTACAAGCCATTCTGTCAATTAATTCGTTATTTTTAAGCCATTTGAAGTTGACGTATCAGATTATTAATATGGAAAAAATTTAATATCGCGCAGTGATTATATTCTTTGTTTTGAAAGGCTTAAAAGCATAGGAAATTTATAAACATTCAAGACGATCCACGCGAAGGACGACCAAAAACCGCAACCACACCAGAAATCATTGAGGAAGTTCATAAAATTGTTAGTGAAGATCTAAGTTTGACTAAGCATGAAATTGCTAATGCCATAGGAATCTCAGATGAACGAGTACGAGTACTTCGTATTTTACATGGAGAATTCCATATGAAAAAGCTGTTTGGAAAGTTAGTGCCGCACACGATAACACTTCAACAAAAACAGGATCGAAAAAAAAAATGTTCAGCATAATTTGGAGCGTTTTAAGCGGAATTAAACCGATTTCTTGCGTCGTTTTATAACTATGGATGAGATATGGATCACCACATTTATCCTAAATTGAAACAAGAACGTTTACATTGAACTGAAGCTTGTTCAGCTCCAAAGCAGGTGAAGTCACAACGAACAGCAAAGAAGGTTATGACATCAGTTGTTTGGTATGCAAAAGTAATTTTGTTGATTGATTATCTGCAGAAAGGGACAAACAATTAGCTCTAAATATTATTGCAGCCTTTTGGATCACCTAGATGAAAAAATTCGTGAGGAAAGTCCTGGTTTGAAGCACAAAAGTTCACTCACAAATGTGTTTTAACAATGAAAAAATTCAACGCATTAAAGTACGAATTGCTTGAGCATCCACCGTATTCACCAGATTTGGCTCCCAGTGACAACCACCTCTTTAGAAACCTAAAACAATTCCTTCGTGAAAAGCGAATAAAATTATTGGAGGATCATTGAAATTAGTGTATTGAAGTTAAAGGAGATTA